GCTTCATAATGTGGTGCTTAACCCCTTGCGCCACCAGGGAGGTCCCAACTTTTTTTTTTCTTAAAGATTTATTTTATTTATACAAGAACCGGGGTACAGGCCAGATGCATAGGTGGGTGAGAGGATTCACCAGAGACAGAGCAGGGAGCAGAACAGGCAGACTGACAAAATACACTGCTGAGGGGAGCAGTGGGTGAGACAGGAGAGGTCTGCTTTCCATGTGGGTTACTCTGAGTCCAGCGGGGATCAAACTGGCACTGCAGAGGCTGTGGATAGCTTCACAGTGCTGCGCTCAACTGCCTGCACCACCAGGGAGGCCCTGCTTGACTTTTCACTCCTTTTCCCTTCTGTCCTTAATCTATATCCCTTGCCTTGTAGATAAATCTCATTGACAGTCTACTTATATCCTTTTACATTTTTTCAGTATCATATAATCATAAATGTGTAAACATTCTCAAGAAAATCTTTTGGTAAAAAAATGGATCATATTATATACACCTCTCCTTGTCTTTTTTTTTTTTTTGATTAAACAATACCTTATGGAATTCTCCAAGTTATTTGTCATACCTCTATTTTATTCTTTTTAATGGCTATATAATATTCCAAGGTATAAATAAATCACATTTTAGTCAGCCTTTTCCTTTTGAGTTCTTCTTGAGCAGCATAACAGTATCAGACAGGTTAGCAAAGAAGAAAACAGTCAATTTAATAACATGGTTATGGAAAGTTCAAATGGTTGTCAATTCTAGTCAATAATGGAGCAGGCCAGAAATATTTGAGTTTTAGGACTAGGCACCTCACAGACAGAGAGAGGGAGACTTCATATGAGATGAGAAGGGGCTGGCCACATCCTTACTCTGGAGAGTAAAGATGAGGTACTTCAATAGATGGAACGTCTTTACTGGTAAACCTAGAACTGGATGACAGTTCCAAACTCCATTCTTTTAGGTCATAGAGGGGAGTGCAATGATTGCTCTTTCTGTAGGAAAGGGGTAGAAGCTTAGGACATCCTGATCTCATGTTCAGTTAGGGCAGAGTGAAGGACTTGGGCAAGAGCAGAAGCTTCTCCTAGCATTCAGGGCCCATGATACTTTCATGAATAAAAATCAGCATGCATTAAGTAATGATATACTGCTGACCTTGATGAGTGCTATGTCAGCAGAATTGTGAAAATGAAGTTTAATTTGGGAGGGTTCAATCTAACATTACCAATGAAGAATGGAGAATTCCCTCTCTTAAAAAGTGGCTATAAAATGCAATGGAGAAATGAAGTAATAGTGAGATGGGGAACAGAAGGGATTTTTAAAAAATCAATTTATTATTTTAATTGAAATAACATTAGGCCCCCCATCAGGTATCATTGATACCCATCAGGTATCATTGCCGTGGTGCACCCAATGCCAGATTACCCATAGTCCAACCACCATAGACTTATTGTAAAGGATTTTTAAAGCTTTCTTACATCTGTAATTTTGTTTATTCTTGGATTGGTAGAAGCTGAAAAATCTTTTCATTCCTTTTTAAATGGTAATCTGTCTAGTCAAGTTTTTATACTTCTTCTTTGGTTAATCTTGCTAATTTACACTTTTCTGGGAAATTAGCCTTCTGTGTTTTAGCTAGATTCTCTTAAAATTCTGGCAAATTCTCTGTAGTTGTGTTTATGTCTCTTATGCTGGTTTTTTTTTTTTTTTTGTGTGTGTGTGGGACCCTCGCCGATGGCGGGGTAATGAACAGGCGCTGCAGAGGCTGTGGGCAGCCTCGCAGCCCAGCACTCAACTGCTGTGCCACCAGGGGAGACCCTCTCTTATGCTGTTTTAAAAAGAGATCAGGACAATTTACTTATTTATTTTTTTACCGCCAAATCAATTATTATTTTGGAAGTAGATGTCTTCTAGAACTTGCTGTATGTTAATAAATTTTAGGCCATTTCCACTGTCTATGTCATAATTATTTTTCTCTTTTATTAATGGGTTAGTTGTAGCTGAACAACTTTTTAGGACTATAAATTTTAGTAGGTGGTAAAGGGTTACTATACTGTGCTATTTTGTTTTGTAATGTAGTATTATATCAGTTATGGTTCAGAAGCTATTTGGTAGTTCTTGGGAATATTTTAAAACAGAATCTATTATATATGGTTTCATATATCACTTACCCCAGGGGAATAATTTTATTACCACACACCAGTGGCAGTAGTTGCTATTACAGAGAATTGTTTGCACACTTTCTAGCAGAGCTGCTTGAGTTGAAGGATCCCATGGAGATCACCTGACATATAGAGTTTAACTAATACTGATTTAAATTATTTCAATAACTCTTATCCACTTTGCTGAAATAGAAGTAGTAAGTACAACTATCATTTCACAAACTTTTTTGATCATGTGATACAACTTGATTCTATTTTAACATGTTAAGAAAGAAGAAAATTCATTTTAGTCATTTGATAAACAAGTGAATTAAAGGCTGCATGTATTTTTGATAATTATACTTCAGTGTGTGTATAAAGGTGCAGAATTGGAGTGTACTGTTATTTAAGAAACTGTTGTATATAGAATCAGTGTGACTCTCAAGTGGGGCTTAATTCTCTAAAAAATGTTCATGAGGGCCTCCCTGCTGGTACAGGGGTTAAAGACATAGCTCAATCAAGCTATCATCAGCCACTGAAGCACAAATTTGATCCACGGCCAGGGAGCTAACCCACATGGCACAGCAGACCTCTCCTGTCTCGAAGGCTGCTCCCCTCAGCAGTGCATTCCTGTAGATCCACCTGTTCTATTCCCTACTCTATCTGGTGAATATGCTCACCTCCCACATCTCTAGCCTACACCCTAGTTCTTATGGCATAAATAAATCATGAAAAAAAAATTTGGTGAGACTTGACATGGCATTTTGGTCTTTACTGCTAGATTCTTTTGTCCTACATTTTTTTACTTTTGTCAGGAAGTTGTGCTTCGGAGTGAATTACGCTTTTGCTGGCTGCGGCATATTAATTGTGCGCTATTGTTTTATTAATTATGCGATATTGAGATGCAATTGAAAATACAATTAAAATATTTCACTGAACTCAAATTCACATTCTTCACTTGTGTTCATAGATTGATATTTCTTTTTGATATGAAATATCAGTTCTTTGAAACTGATATGAACCAGGCTTCCCGACATGTAGAAGTGATCAGCTTAAGAGTCCCAAATGCTATGATTCTGAAAGGAACCGGTTTTTGTTGTAAAGATTATTTATTTATTTATTATTTATTTATTTTTGCATAGAATAACTGGGGTATAGGCCAGAGGTTCAGGGAGTGGAGAGGATTCACCAGAGATAGAGTGGGGAGCACAGTAGGTGGATTTACTGAAATACAGTGGAGAGGGAAGTATCTGGCAAGACAGGAGAGGTCTGCTGTGCCAAATGTGGATTAGCTCCCTGGCTGGGGATGGAACTCACACCATAGTGATAATGGAGCTGATACTTAACCCTTAGGCCACCAAGGAGAGCCTCTCCAGCATTCTCAAGAAATATGTTTTTAAGGATTTATTTATTTATGCATACAAGAACTGGGGTACAGGCTAGAGGTGTGGAGGGTGAGAGGATTCACCAGAGACAGACTGGGGAACAAAACAGGCAGGTTGACTGGAGTACACTGCCGAGGGGAGCCACAGGTGATTTAGGAGAGGTCTGCCATGCCATGTGGGTACCTCCCTGGCTGGGGATGGAACTCATGCTGCAGTGGTTGTGGATAGCTTCATAGTGCTGCATCTTAATTCCTTAGAAAAAGTGATTTTGTACACTTTAAATGGGAAAATAAAGGTGTCATTATAGCCAGGATTTCATCACTTCCTTAAATTATTGCATAACCATTTTCTGGCACTGTAATTTAAAAAGCAAGACTTTTCTTAAAGCGTATTTATTTTATTTTATTTTTGAAGATTTTTATTTATTCATACAAGAGTTGGGGTACAGGCCAGAGGTGTGGAGGGATGAAAGGATTCACCAGAGTCAGTGGGAAACAGAACAGGCAGGTGTACTGAAACACACTGTTGAGGGGAGCAGTGAGTGAGTCAGGAGAGGTCTGCTGCACCATGTGGGTAGCTCCCTGGTCAGGGATCGAACTCCTGCTGTGGATAGCTTTGTAGGTTGCGTCTTACCCCTAGCACCACCAGGGAGGCCCAAGCATATTTATTTTAAAGAATGATATACTTGAATTATTTTCTTAAAGCCTAGCTATCTTAAAACCTGAATATATAAAGGTTCGAGTTTATTTATTTATTTATTTAGAAAGATTTATTTATTTATTTATTTATTTATTTATTTATACAAGCACTGGGTGCAGTCAGAAGCGCAGGAGGGTGAGAGAATTCACCAGAGCCAGAGTGGGAAGCAGAGCAGGCAGAAGGACCGAAGTACACTGCTGAGGGGAGCAGCGGGTGGCAGGAGAGGTCTGCGTGCCCTGTGGGACCCTCCTCCCGTGGCCGGGGAGACTGACTGCAGGCAGCTTCGCAACCCAGCACTCAACCGCTGTGCCGCTGGGGAGGCCCTGAGTTTATTTTTTGAAAAGATTTATTTTAATTTATTTATGCATATAGGAACTGGGGTATAGGCCAGAGGTGCAGGCCTTGGGGGTGAGAGGAAGGACTCATCAGAGATAAAGTGGGGATAGAACAGGCAGATCTACTGAAAAACACTGCTGAGGGGAGCAACCTGAAAGACAGGAGAGGTCTGCTTCTCCATCTGTGAGTTAGCTCCCTGGCTCAGGATCAAACTCATGTTGCAGTGACTGGCAATAACTTGATAGACTGAGATTTTAACCCCTGCACCACCAGGAAGGCCCTCTTTTTGTACAAATTATATACAGTGCAATCTTTCTGCTTATACATACTGTCATATTTGTATTCCAAGATTCCTACTGATATGTCTGTTTCATATTATATATATTTACACTTTGTTGTCAGTTTTACTATTTGAAAATATAACCTTATGTAATGTATTACAATTTTTCTTTTTTAAGGAGAAAATAAAGAGCTATCAACAGACTGAAAAGATGTTTTCAGAGGCGTAGAGTCTTCGAGAAGATATTGCAATTCATGAGATCTCAAGGTTAGCAGTTTTTATTCTTTCACAGATTTTAGCTATAAAATTATAGCTTTTTCCAAGTTATTATTGTCAATGTGAAATTAGATTATAAAGAAAAATATTCTTAAAACAATATATTTTTAATAAGGTCTTGTCAAGATTTTTAGAAATTTACTTAAACCTGAAATTTATTATTTACCTCAGTTGAGAATGGTTAAAAGATTATTTTAGTGAAGAACCATTGATTACTAAAGTTTCCTTCACTTTTTAAAAATAGCATTGTTAACATAAAAATAAACATTAGGCATCCCTATAAGATTTTTACGTTTGATTTGTTAAGAAATGTACACGTATTTAGCAAATTTTAGCTTCTTGTGTATCTTCAGGTACAGAACACTTATACTCAGATAGTTTAGGATAGCTCATCAGCAATTCTAAAATTCTTTTAATCCTATTCCCTGCCTTTCCTAAGTACAATCAACAAATTACGTTTTTCTGGGAAAATATGGCCTCAATAAAAGAGTAATTAATATGAATGAGCAAAAGGGTATTGGCTGATCTTTTCTAAGTATTTTATTTTATTATTTTTAAAGATTTATTTATTTATGCATACAAGAGCTGGGGTACAGACCAGAGATGTGGGGAGTAGGGGTGTGTGTGAGACAGGATTTACCAGAGACAGAATGGGGAACAGAACAGGCAGACTGACTCAAATACACTGCTGACGGGAGCAGCAGGCCAGACAGGAGAGGTCTGCTGCGCCATGTGGGAAGTTCCCTGACTGGCCAGGGATCGAACTCATGCTACAGATGCTGCAATTGCTTCATAGTGTGGTGCTTAACCCCTTGCACCACCAGGGAAGCCCTCTAAGTATTTTAAAGAAAAAAAAAAAAAAAAAACAAACCTTCCCATTACTAAATAGCTCATTATAACAAACTAATGTAAAATATTCATTTGGGTTTTTGAATTACACTGTAGATTAAATTGGTTTGTGCTCATGGAATATCTTGAGAAAGTGAATGATTTTTGGCTTTATATTGTAGGACAGTATGAATATCAAATATTCATATTTTTTTTTTTTTTTTAAGTTTTCATTGAATAATTTTATTTATTTTTTTTTTTAAATATTAAATTTTATTTTTATATTCCCCCATACAATTGCAAACGCCCCATTCTGACCCCAATCCTTCCCCTCCCGCCCCCCAACCCCCCAAAAGTGTCTCTGGTTCATAGTTTTTTGTTGATTTTGATTTTCACTTTCTTATATTCATTTTCCTGGTCCCTTATTTAAGTTTTCTAGATTCCTGCTATGAGTGAGACCATCCGGTATTTTTCTTTTTCTTTTTGGCTTATTTCGCTGAGCATGATCCCTTCCAGTGCCATCCATGTTGCTGCAAATTGCATGTGTTTATCTTTTTTGAATGCTGAGTAATATTCCATGGTATATATGTACCACATCTTCTTGATCCAGTCATCTATTTTTGGGCATTTGGGTTGTTTCCAAAGCTTAGCTATTGTAAACAGTGCTGCTATAAACATAGGAGTGCAGGTGCTCTTTGGAATTGATGTTTCTGTGTCCTTTGGGTAAATACCTAGGAGTGGAATTGCTGGATCATATGGAAGCTCTATGTTTAGTAGGTCCAGAAATCTCCACACAGCTCTCCATAGTGGTTGGACCAGTTTGCACTCCCACCAACAGTGCACAAGAGTTCCTTTTTCTCCACATCCTCGCCAACATTTGTTGTTGCTAGTTTTTTTAATATGTGCCATTCTCACTGGTGTGAGATGGTATCTCATGGTAGTTTTGATTTGCATTTCCCTGATTACAAGTGATGTTGAACATTTTTTCATATGTCTGTTGGCCATTTGCATTTCCTCTTCAGAGAAGTTTCTTTTTAGCTCTTCTGCCCATTTTTTGACTGGATTATTTTCTTTGTTGTTGCTGAGTCTCATCAGCTCTTTGCAGATTTTTGTGATCAGTCCTTTATCATTAGTGTTGGGTGCAAAAATGTTCTCCCAGTTGGTGGGGTTTCTCTTTGTTTTTGTTATTGTCTCTTTTGCTGTGCAGAAGCTCTTTAATTTGATGTAGTCCCAGCTGTTTATCTTTCTCTTCACTATCACTGCTTTGGGTGATGTGTCTGTAAAGATGTCTTTGATGTGCAAATCCCGTAGTGTTTCGCCTATATTTCCTTCTATGTATTTTATGGTTTCAGGTCTTATGTCTAGTTCTTTAATCCATTTTGAGTTGATTTTTGTGTATGGTGTGAGGTAGTGGTCAAGCTTCATTCTTTTGCATGTAGCGACCCAGTTTTCCCAGCACCATTTATTGAACAAACTTTCTTTGCTCCAATGCATAGTCTTTGCTCCTTTGTCAAAGATTAGTTGACCATAAATCTGTGGGTTTATTTCTGGATTTTCTATTCGATTCCATTGGTCTGTATGTCTGTTCTTGTTCCAATACCATGCAGTTTTGATGATTATGGCTTTGTAGTATAGTTTGAAGTCTGGGAGTGTGATGCCTCCATTTCCTTCTTTTTTTTTCAGTAGAGCTTTGGCTATTCGGGGTTTTTGGTGATTCCATATGAATTTCATCAATAATTGTTCTATTTCTTTGAAGAATGCCATTGAGATTTTGATTGGAATAGCATTGAATCTGTATATTGCTTTTGGTAGGATGGCCATTTTAATAATGTTTATTCTTCCAATCCATGAGCAGGGGATGTCTTTCCATTTCTTTGTGTCTTCTTCTATTTCTTTTAACAGTGTTTTATAGTTTTCTTTGTATAGGTCCTTTACCTCTTTTGTTAGATTTATTCCCAAATATTTGATTTTTTTTGTTTCGATAATAAAAGGGGTGGTTTTTTTGATTTCTTCTTCTTCAGATTTATTGTTTGTGTATAGGAAGGCTACTGACTTTTGCGTGTTGATTTTGTATCCTGCCACTTTACTGAATTGATTGATGAGTTGAATTAGTTTTTCTGTGGAGATTTTGGGGTTCTCTATGTATATTATCATATCATCTGCAAATAGTGATAGTTTGACTTCTTCTTTTCCTATTTGGATTCCTTGGATGTCTTTCTCTTGTCTTATTGCTCTGGCTAGGACTTCCAGTATTATATTGAAAAGCAGTGGTGAGAGTGGACATCCTTGTCTTGTTCCAGATCTTAATGGAATTGCTTTCAGCTTTTCACCATTGAGAATGATACTGGCTGTTGGCTTGTCATAGATGGCCTTTATGATGTTGAGGTATGTTCCTTGTATCCCAAGAATTTCAAGGGCTTTTATCATGAATGGGTGTTGCACTTTGTCGAAAGCTTTCTCAGCATCTATTGATATTATCATATGGTTTTTATATTTCTTTTTGTTGATGTGTTGGATAACGTTGATTGATTTTCGGATGTTAAACCATCCTTGTGCCCCTGGAATGAATCCAACTTGGTCGTGGTGAATTATCTTATGGATACATTGTTGGATTCTGATAGCTAAAATTTTATTGAGGATTTTTGCATCAGTGTTCATTAGGGAGATTGGCCTATAGTTTTCCTTTTTTGTGTTGTCCTTATTCGGTTTTGGTATTAGTGTAATATTGGCTTCATAGAACGTGTTTGGTATTGTCCCTTCCTTCTCAATTTTTTGGAAGAGTTTGTGAAGGATAGGCACTAATTCGTCTCTGAATGTTTGGTAGAATTCATTTGTAAATCCATCAGGTCCTGGGCTTTTGTTTTTGGGGAGGTTTTTAATTACCATTTCAATTTCGCTGCTTGTAATTGGTCTGTTTAGGTGTTCTATTTCTTCTTTATCTAGCTTTGGGTGATTGTAGAGTTGTAGGAATTTGTCCATCTCCTCTAGATTGTTGAACTTGTTTCCATATAACTGTTCATAGTAGTTACTGATTATTCTTTTGATTTCTGCTGTGTCCGTTGTGATTTCTCCTCTTTCATTTATGATTCTGTGTATTTGTGCTTTCTCCCTTTTTTCCTTTGTGAGCCTGGCTAGGGGTTTGTCTATTTTATTTATTTTTTCAAAGAACCAGCTCTTGGTTTCATTGATCTTTTGGATTGTTTTTTTAGTTTCAATTTCATTTATTTCTGCTTTGGTTTTTATTATTTCTTTTCTTCTACTGGTTCTGGGGTTTTTTTGTTGTTCTTTTTCTAGATCTTTGAGCTTCGAGATTAGGTTGTTTCTTTGAGTTCTTTCTTGTTTTTTGATGTGAGCTTCTATTGCTATATATTTTCCTCTTATTACTGCTTTTGCTGCATCCCATACATTTAGGATATTGGTGTCCTCCTTGTCATTCAATTCAAAGAATTTTTTAATTTCTTCTTTGATCTCCTCGTTAGTCCAGTGGTCTTCCAGTAGTGTGGCTTTTAATCTCCATGAGGTAGGATAGTTCCTTGCCTTCTTTTTATGATTTATTTCTAGTTTGATGCCTTCGTGGTCAGAAAAGATGGTTGGTATGATTTCAATCTTGGTGTATCTGTTGATGTTTGTCTTGTGCCCCAGTATGTGATCGATCCTGGAGAATGATCCGTGTGCGCTTGAGAAAAATGTGTACTCCGTTTTTTTTGGGTTTAGTGTTCTATAGATGTCTGTTAAGCCCAAATGCTCTAGGTCCTTATTTAGAGCTTTAGTTTCTTTACTTATTTTTTGTCTTGTTGATCTATCCATTGTTGATAGTGGTGTGTTGAAGTCTCCCACTACATATGTGTTTTCTCTGATGTCTGTTTTCAGAGAGGACAACAGTTGTCTGATATATTTTGGTGCTCTTTCGTTTGGTGAGTATATGTTAATGAGTGTTATTTCTTCTTGAAGTATTGTCCCCTTAATCATAATGTAGTGACCATTGGGGTCTCTTTTTATTTTTTTGAGTTTGAAGTCTGTTTTATCTGATATAAGTATAGCTGTTCCTGCTTTCTTTTTTGGCCCATTTGCTTGTAGGATTGTTTTCCATCCTTTGACTTTGAGCCTATTTTTATCTTTTGTAGCTAAATGTGTTTCCTGGAGACAGCAAAAGGTTGGGTTTT